CTCTTCAGTTCACCTATCTTAACTCTTGTAGCATTCACTTTTATGGACATGGTCAAGAATGTATTGCTTACTCCAATGGACATAAGGGTGTTTCCTACATTTTCTTCTAGGATTCTTTGAGGTTTTGTGTTTAGTTCTTGAATCCATTTTGAGTGGGTTTTTTTATATGGTGACAGGTAGGGGTCCAGTTTCATTCTTCTGCATGTGGTCAGCCAGTTTTCCCAGCACCGCTTGCTAAATATGGTCTCCTTTCCCAAGTGGTTGTTATGGTGGTTTTGTCTAAGATGAGTTGGTTGAGAGATCAAAATTTTTTAAATTTTTTTTATAATCAATATTTTTAATTATGATATTGTGGGGTACAGTTAAGGGTTAGGTATACAAACATACTTCGTTCAGGCACCCTTGTTGATAAGAGGTGTCTCCCCGGAGAGTTCGAGATTTTGCTTCCATAACCTCTGTCCTGTTCCACTGGTCTATGTGCCTATTCTTTTCTTTTCTTTTTTTTTTTGAGTTGGAATCTCACTCTGTCGCCCAGACTGGAGTGCAGTGGCCGCTCCCAGTCACCACAGCCTCGATCTGCTGGGCTCCGGCGGTCCTTCCGCCTCAGCCTTCCAAGTAGCTGGAACTACAGGCACACAATACCACGCCTGGCTAATTTTTTTGCTTTATTGTGGAGATGAGGTCTCACCAAGTTGTCCAGGCAGGTCTCAAACCCGTGGACTCAGGCAATCCACTCACCTCAGCCTCCCAAAGGCACGGGATTACAGGCTGAGTCACCGAGCCTGGCTATGTGCCTATTCTTGTACCAGTACCATGTCGTCTTGGTTACTGTGGCCTTGAAATAAAGTTAAAAGTCTGGAAGTGTGATACCTCCCACTTTGTTCCTTTTGGTGAGGATTGTTCTGGCAATTTGGGCTCTTTTCTGTTTCCATATGAATTTCTGTCTTTGAAAAAAGATGTTGGTAATTTGGTGGGTATTGAATTGAATCTGTAGATTGCCTTGGGTAGGATGAACGTCTTGATCATATTAATTCTTCCAATCCATGAACATGGGATGTTTTCCATTTGTTTGTGTCATCCTTGATTTATTTGAGCAGCATTTTGTAGTTTTCATTATAAAGTTCTTTCACTTCTCTGGTTAGGTGGATGCCAATGTGGTTCATTTTTTTGTGGCTATTATGAATGGGATTGTGTTTTTTATTTGCCAGCATTTTGCTGGTGTGTAGAAATGCAACTATCTTTTGCACATTGATTTTGTAACCTGAAACTTTACCAGTAATTTATCAGCGTGAGTAGGTTTTTGACAAACTCCCTGGGGTTTTCTGGGTATAGAATCATATAGTCCCCAAAAAGGGATAGCTTAACTTCCTCTTTTCCTATTTGGATATCCCTGATTTCTCTTGCCTGATTTCTCTGACTAGGACTTCCAGGAGTTGAACAGGAGGGGTGAGAGTGGGCATCCTTGTCTCGTTCCCATTCTTCAGTGGAATGCTTCCAGCTTCTGCCCATGAGCAAAATGTTGGTCCTGGGTTTATCAGAGATGGCTCTTGCTGTTTTGAGGAATGTTCCTTCTAGGTGCTTGAGGATTTTTCTCAAGAAGGGATGCTAAATTTTGTTGCTTTTTCTGCATCTAATGAGATAATCATGTTGTTCTTGTGGACTGAACCTTTTATCATTATGTAGTGTCTTCCTGTGTCCTTTCTGATTTTTGACAAAGTCCGCTTTGCCTGGTGTCAGAATAGTTCCTTCTGCTCTTTTGTGTTTCCCATTTGCCTGAAATGTCATTTTCCAGTCTCTTACTTTGAACCTGTGGGTGTCCTTTGCAGTGAGATGAGTTTCCTGGATGCAGCAGAGTGTCAGATCATGCATTTTTATCCAGTTTGCCACGCTATACCTCTTCAGTGGCACATTCGGTTCATTCACGTTCAAATTAATTATTGAAATGAGTTTATCATAGGGCTCCTGGGGGTTGCTTTGCTTCCTTTTTACTTTATTTTTATTTTTTTATTTTTGAGTTAGAGTCTCACTCTGTCACCCAGGCTGAAGTGCAGTGGCACGCTCCCAGTCACTGCAGCCTCAATCTGCTGGGCTCCAACGATCCTTCCTCCTCAGCCTTCCAAGTAGCTGGAAGTACAAGTGTGCACTACCACACCCGGCTAATTTTTTTTTTTTTTTGGATTTATTGTAGAGATGAGGTCTCGCCAAGTTGCCCAGGTGGGTCTTGAATCTGTGGGCTCAGGCAATTCATTCACCTTGGCCTCCCAAAGTGTGAGATTACAGGCTGAGCCACTGAGCCCAGCCTTTTTACTTTTTTATATATATTTTTTCATTTTTGTGAGTGCTCTGTATGCTCTTTTAACTCTGAGCTTGCCCATACTTCTGTGATGGACATGACTTTGTTTCTGTGTTCAACACCTTCTTAAGCATCTCCTGGAGATGGTCTGGAAGGCAGCATATTCTCAGGGACTGGATGTCTGGGAAGGATTTTAATTCTGCAGCACTGATGAAACTTAGCTTGACAGGATAGGACATTCTTTGCTGGACTTGCTTATCTTTGGGAACATTAAAAATGGGACTCCACTCTCTTCTGGCTTGTAGTAAGTCTTGAGCAATTCTGTTATTATAGGGATGAGCTACTGCACCCGGTCTAAACTTCTTTAATAGAGTTGTTCAATTTATCTTTTTTTTTTTCCAAGTTGGGAGTCTCACTCCCTCACCCAGGCTGGAGTGCAGCAGCACGCTCACAGCCACCCCAGCGTTGACCTGCTGGGCTCCAGCCTCAGCCTCCCAAGTAGCCAGAACTACAAGCGTGTGCCACCACACCCAGCTAATTTTTTGATTCATTGTAGAGATGAAGTCTTGTCAAGTTGCCGGGGCTGGTCTTGAACCCACAGATGCAGGCAATCCACTCACCTCGGCCTCCCAAAGTGCTGGGATTGCAGGCTGAGCCACCAAGCCCAGCCATCTATTTCTTCTTGAGTTTTGGTAGATTCTTCCAAGAAAATTTTTCCATCTCAGTTGAACTGTTGAATTTATCAGCATCAAGTTGTCATGATGTTCCTCTATCCTTTTCATGTTGTCCCCATCTCATTCCTTTATCACATCTTTTTCTCCTGATGATTTTATTGTTTTCAAAATGTCAGAATTTTATTTTCTCTACCATTTTTCTATTTTCTGTTCATGAAAACTTTTAATTCCTCACTCTCCCATAAGTATAAAAATATACTTTTTTTTTTTTTTAGTTGGGGCCTCACTCTGTCATTCGGGCTGGAGTGCAGTGGGCACCATCATGGCCACTGCAGCCTCAGTCTTCTGGGCTCAGGCAGTCCTCCTGCCTCAGGCAAGCCTCCTGAGTAGCTTGGACTACAGGTAGGAGCCACTATGCCTGGCTAGCTTTTTAAATTTTTTTGTAGACATGAAGCCTTGCTATGTTGCCCAGGCTGATCTCAAGCTCCTGGGCTCAAATGATCCTCCTGCCTTGGCCTCCCAAATGTTGGGATTACAGGCGTGACCTACTGTACCGGCCAAAAATGTAATTTTAAAAACTAGTAACAACAGCTACACACAGAGAACTGACTAGGCTTGGTCCTTGTATTGACCCTAAGAGGTAGGGTCATGACCTCATTTCACAGATGAGGAAACTGAGATGCAGAGAGGCAACACTTGCCTAAGGACACACAGCTGGGACATGGAAGTTCTGAGTCAAGCTCAGGTCATGTCTGTTCTCCCACCTAACTAGCCTTTCAATTTGTACCTACTCACACTCAGCCACCCAGTTAATGAGTACCCCCTCCGAAGACTGGGTGCTCTTTGAAGAGTTGACATCTGAGCAGAGGCCAAAGAAAATGAGGGGGCCAGCCATGTGGATATTGCAGAGAAGAGCATTCCAGGTAGAGGGCACAGTGTATGCAAAGACCGTGTCGTAAGAATCTACTGGGCATGTGCAAGGAGCAGACAGGAGCTAGGTGAGCCTACTGGCAGGTGACCAAAGGGGTGTGGGATTTGATGTCCACAGTGTATCTGGGACCAAAGCTCACTGTGAGTGGGGAACCAGGGGGTGGGGCTTAAGCAGGAAGCAGGCTATGACTTGTGCTGCACAGGACTCCTGTGGCTTCTGTAAGGGAAACAGAGGAGACAGGGACAGAGGCCGGGAGGCCAGTGAGGAAGACCTGTGCTGGTCCCCGCACAGATGTGGAATGGTGCCTGCGGGAGTGAAGGCCAAGGAGAGGCAGGGCCGGGGTCAGTCGCTGGGTCTGTTGCCAAGGTGGAGTCCACGGGACTGAGAGGGTGCGCGTCCCCTGTCCGAGAAGGACCAAGATGGCGCCAAGGTCCGGGGCTGACCGGCCGACGGAGGCGCCCCTCAGACAAGCCTTGGGGAAGGCCAGCTCCAGAGAGGAGAGCCGGCACCTGGTTGACAGGGAGGCAGAGGATGAATCAGTGGATGAGGCATGAATGAATGAAGGGTGCACCAGCCGAACCCATGCGTGAGCCGCAGATTCCCAAGGGAGGACAGGCCTGAGTGGGCTCTGGCTGGGCAGACCCAAGGCCCCCCTCGGGCTGCGAGTGTGGACGTCAAGGAGGTGGCTGCACGCGGGGCCTGGGGGGAAGCCTGGGCGCACCCGCCTGCAGGCGCCCGTGTGGGCCAGTAGGGTTGAGTGCGGGGCGTCCGGGCCACCAGTGGCAGTGGCGGGGACCAGGGTAGGCTTGGGGGAGATGTGGCTGGGAGCCAGGGAGCCACTGGGTGGGATGCGCCTCAGGGCAGCCAGTGGTCCTAGGCGCCCAGGCCCCACCCACCTCGGTGACCCAAAGGGAGGGGCAAATTTGGGGTGTCCCTAGTCCAAGAGGAGTAGAGGCGGTCAGGACAGACCCAGGAGAGCGCAAAGACCCGGGAAGTCCCTCATACCTACCCACAGGACCCCTGGGGCCCAGCACAGCACGAGAGAAGTAAGCTAGACCCTGTGGAGGAAGGATGGGGGCAGAAGCAGGCAGAAGAGGCCGCATCGGGTGCAAGGTTTTATTCACCCAGCCACACTCCTCCCAGGCCGCAGCTTCCAGTTGAGTCCTGGCCCTGGTCCCAGAGAGGCACAGGTGGCTTGCGGGCAGGCTCCCTGGCCCTGGTGGGAGGTGGGCAGGGCTCCCAGCCCAGCTCACACGTGCAGCTTCCGGTGCCGCAGCACCTCCGTGGGCGTGAACAGAAAGTCCTTCTGGCAGGCCTCGCAATGGTAAGGCCTCTGCAGGGCAGACGCCTTCTGGAGGGGCTCGGGAGTGGCTTCCTCAGCCCCTGAGGGAGGGAAAACGGGGGGTGAGGGGGTTGCTCCAGTGCATGCAGTCACTCACCAAATCCCAGCACCCATGGGGGCTCAGGTTTTTTCCCAGCCATTGGGGAATCCAGTTTTGCCTCCTACAAGTCTTCCTTGATTAATACACACAGCTGTCTTTACTCTGTGTCCTTGCCAGTGAGAGAGAGAGACACACAAAGAGAGATGCAGAGAGGGAAAGAGGTGACAGGGCGAGTCCTGGGGTGGGGCGTGTGGCCCACTGCTGCCTCTCCACTGAACTCCAGTGTGTGGCATATGGTACACCAGCAGATACTGCAGTGTCCCTTGGGTGACAACTGGGTAGATGTGGCCAAGGCAGAGACAGCTATAGGGCAGAACAGGACACAGCCACAGAGACACACAGAAACCAAGAGCGACACAGACAGAAAGCAGCGTTCAGGCTCCTGGCTCCGGATCTTGGTGACAATGCCTGCACATGGCACCAGCCAGGGACAGTGGGATGAAGCCCTCAGTCCTCTGGGCGTCAAGGAAGGGCCCAGACACACAGGAAGCATCTGCACGTGGACAGAGGGAGTGGCGAGGTCCCCGGCCAGCCTTGCCTGGGGGTGCGTCCTGCGGGTCTGGGGCGCAGGTGTTCTCGTGGCTGATGCGCTCCACAGGTGTGAGGGGCGCGTGGAGGCCGCAGCGGGGGCAGGTCCAGAAGGTGCGCAGGCAGTCGCTGTACAGGTCCGCATCGCTCTGCAACAGGCCGTAGTTAGGGCTTGCCCTGCTGCCCCGCCACCCAGAGCCCCTCAGGGCTCAGGCCCACAGGGGACACCGCGCCCCTGGACTAAATTGGAATGTGGCTGGCGGGGGGGGGTTGCTTCCCAAAGTCCCCCTGGGGCAGGAGGGCGAGGCCAGGCGCGGGGTCCATGCTCACCGTGAGGCAGTTGTAGGTGAGGAAGTCGGTGACCGCGTAGCCCCCCTTGGTGGGGTGGGGAGTCAGGGTGGCGCTGCCAAAGAGGCCAGGGAGACTGGGGGCAGCTGTGACGGTCTGGGGTCCCACATAGAGGTTCTGGGCTTCCAGCCCCGTAAGCCGCCGCAGGCTGTAGGGAACCTGCGGAGAGGCAGGACAGCAGAGGCAGACTCAGGGAGATGCCATCAGAGCGCCTAGATCCAGCTATGCCAGAGCCCTGCCTCGGACCTCCCGGCTGCAGGAGCCTAGTGCTTAGGCCAATCACAGCTTGCCTCAGACCCTCGTGACCAGAGACTCATCTGGAAACGCCGGGATGCCCGCCCCATCTCAACTGCCCTCCCAGACCCGTCCTCTGCCTCTGTCCCCAATGGGACCACACCTGGATCTTGAGTCTGGCCTTCCGGTCCGGCTGCCTTGCCCCTCCTGGCACGTCAGCCGTGCTCCCCTCTCCCTGGCTCCCTGGGTTCCTGCCCCTCGGTCTTTGAGCCTCCCTCCTCCCCTAGGAAGTCAGTCTGGATTGCACCCTTATCCCCATCCTGCCCACATGGAGTAGAACCAGGAGCAATTCTTTTGCCCCACCTAAGGGGGCCACTTCCCTCTCACACCCCGCAGGTCCCTGACTGTTACTGGGGATATTAACCATACATACAGAAGGTGCCGAATACACATCTGCTGAATGAGTGATGAGGGAGGGACCGGCAGTGGTCAGCAGTGTGGCTCTGGAGCCAGGCTCTTGGGGTCAAATCCTTCCTCCACCCTGACCACCTGAGTGACGCTGGGCTGACACTTACTTCTGGGGCCTGAAGCCCCCGAATGTGCCCACACTGGGTGAACGGGAGATCGGGCCTTCCCTAGTCTTACCCCCTGTGGCAGACACCCCTCGTGGGCACGAGCCCCAGTGGCGGGCACCTTGGATGCCATGAGCTGCAGCAGCTCCCTGCTCAGGGCCGCCACCTCCCTGGGGCTGACCGGTGCAGCCTCCTCGTCTTCCTCCTCCTCTGGCCGCTGGGCCTGGCGAG